ACACAGACAACAGTATGGTGATTACCAGAGGGAAAGGAAGGTGGCAGGGGGAGGTAGAAGAGGGTAGAGGGGAGACAAATGGTGATGGAAAGAGACTTGATTTTGGATGGTGAACACACAATGCAATATACACATGATGCATTATAAAATTGTATACCTGAAACCAATGTAATTTTATTAACCAATGTCACCCCAATAAATTCAATAAAATTTAAAAAATGTTTTTAAAGAAATAGTCTATGTGTTATATACAACATTCACTTGCAGAGCACCCCATAAAAGGTATAGAGTAAGTTTCCCAAACAGCCAAACTAAAAAAGGACAACAAAAGTCCTGTGAGGTCTTAGAGGGTTAGTAATAGTATGAGATAAGCCATTTTATGAAAAGATACTATGGATGAGGAGAGAAAAAACAGTGGTTTCAAATTTAAATTCCAAATTATTTGACTCAAAAGCAATTCATCCAAATTCCATGCATCGATTTGCAATAACATTGATTCTCATATACATGATAGAACACGATGTGTTCCAGAATGAGTGATAATTGGGATTTACTTAATGATGGTTTCTGATTCTCCCAAACTATGCAGAAGAGGCTAACTACAACTACTATCAAAAAGGGTTACGAATTGAAAGGAGGAAAAGACCCAGAAGCAAATCCTGAGACCTGAGTTCACATGTAATTAGTGATCTGGAGGAAACAATGGTAGAGGAGGGAGGAAGTGAGACAGGGAAGGGAAAGCAGACAATCAAGGGTGGGTTATTAATCAAGTGTCCACTGTAGCTATTACAAAAAAACAAAAACAAAAACCTAATCCCACTGATAATACCTGGCAGCCAGTTTAGAATAGAGTAGCTGGTGTAGCAAAATAGGTGAAAAACACTGAGATATTGATATACTCATTTATGGCAGTCACTAGCTGAGGGCTCCTCCCAGGCAGTATTACTTATCTGGCATGCTGGTCCACTGAGGGCAAAGGGGGCTTTGGTGATAAGAAAAACCCTTCAGGCAAAGAAACACTGCTGATACCAGCTGGGAAAAGGGCCAGCATACACTGAAGTGGTAAGAACAAGGGAATCTGGTGGTAAAGCGATTATCATATGGACAGGGGTAATCTAGAAGACCCAATGAAAGAGGAAGTTTAACTGGGCTTTGAGAAATGGGTAATATTTGGTTGAGGGAAAGCGTTTAAGTTAGGAAAACTGGCATGAGCAAGAATATTAGGAGGAAAGTATAAGAGGTCTCCTAGGTCATAAGCCAGTTTGTCTAGCTCAGAAGGACAATTTATATATGATATCCTTGGGGAAATATGGCTAAAAATGTATGTTGGGGCCATATTAAGTAAAGTATTTAATGCTAGGCTAAAGAGTTTCAACTTTTCATTGTAGGTATTGAGGAACCATTAAGTTTCTAAGAAGAAATATAATAAAATGAAAGCATTACCTTAAGGCATTAACATCTATGATGGCAGCACTAATATCCTTACAATGTAAACTCCTATTGGATAGGCTCTGTATGTTGTAGGTTTCTCCAGGAGAGGACTGTATGCAGAGAGGTATTCAGAACCCATCAACAATGAGGACCCTGAGTACAGAAACTTTGGTATCACAGTATCATTTCTTACTAAAAGAAAGCAAGGCTCCTTGGAGAAAGGGCCGATTTCAGGTCTGTGCAGAATATTTACAAAGTACGGTAAGTCTAAAACATATTTTCATGCCAGAAAGGAAGTAAGCTGTCAAACAGTATAGTGCCTTGGTCAAAAAAACTCAGAAGCCCAACTGAAGGGATTACCAGCAGCCAAAAAAGAAACAATTTGAGCTTCAAAATAATAAATATTATAAAAACATTAAATAATACCTTCAATGACATAAAATATATTAAAAGTGTAGTATTCATGAGTTCATAAATATACTTAAAAACTTGAAGGATACTAGGGAACTAACTCATTATTCTGAAAACTAGGAAATAAAGAAGAAAATTGTACATTTATCCTAGTTGTCCTGTATAAACTGTACAGATATTTAATGAGGCAAAATTATTTATTATAAAAGAATTTCTGTTAGTAAATGTAGAATGAATAATCACATTAGGATATCACCATTTTGCAACTCTAAATGAAATAATGGACCTATGCTATAATCAATAGCTACTAAAACTATTAGCTGAAAAGCTGATGGAAAAACTTATGATGTTTTTCACAAACTTTGCCAGGTTGACTACATCTGAAGCCAATAACCAATTAAAGCACAATAAAAAGAAAGACCACCAGACAGTTTATGCCTCTTAATGTAATGCAACAAAAAGTGAATAATAACACCTATGAAATCTTTTTGCCAAAAAAAGCTTTAAAAGCTTCATCTGGGTATACAAGAAATACAAGAGAAAGGACTCCATAGGAATACAATTTGCAAAATTCAGAATGTGCTAAATTCTGTAGAGCAATTGATCATTATTCTTTTTTTTTCCCATCCCCACCTGAGGACATTTTTTTATCCTTATTTTTAGAGAGAGAGGAAGGGAAAGAGAGGGAAAGAGAGAGAGAGAAACACCAGTGTGAGAGAGAAGCATCTATTGGTTGCCTCCCATAGGCACCTGGACCAGGGATCAAAGCTGCAACCCAGACATGTGCCCTGACAAGGAATCAAACCCACAACCCTCTGGCTATGGGACGAGCCAACCAACTGAGCCACATGGGTGATCGTTATTCTTTAACAAATAAACTTCAAGAAAAAAATTAGAGGTGAACATATACATTTAAAAAATCATCAAATGTAATATGGAGACTTTGTTTAGGTCCTAATTCAAGTAAAACAAAATAAAATTTATGAAATGATTAAATTTGATATTGAATGTCTCATGATATTAGGGAATTATAAAATTTGACTTGCACTAATGATATTATAGTAATGTTCTTTTTAAAAACCCTTTTATATTATAGATATACATTTATAACCCCAAAACTTTTATTCTTAAATATTTATCAGTAAAAGAATATTATGATGTATTTCAAAAGAATCTAATGGGCTAGGAGAAAGACTATACATTAATAATTATTTACTCTACAAAAGTGATTAATATGTGAGCATTTGTTAATCTGATTTATTTACCTTACTATATGTTGGAAATCAAAGATTGGGTATTCCGAGTGAATTAACTAAAACTCAGTATTCCTGCGCTCCTGCCTGATCACTGAAATCATTAAGGGCTGAAGACGACTATTGACAGACAGAAGCATAGGACAAAGCTAGAAAGAGCAGTTATGAAAGTACAATGTCAACACATACATAAAATTCACTGTGAGAAGCTTCTAATTGATACAGTAGGTAGTTAGACAGATATGAGCAGAGTAGGAACTACAGGCCAGCTACTGAAGCTCCAGTAGCAGGCACAAAGCCCCAGGTGCCTAGCAATGAACAAAACTGGGAATACAAGTATTGTAGGGTGGGACCTCACCCCCAGGGTGAACTCCCCTCACACATCAGTTTAGAACCCCTGACCTTTCACATCACTGGTCCTGTGTTTTGGGCCCACCCCTGAGCTTTCCTCCCCTAGCATATAAGACCCCTTAGATGGGGAACAAAGAAGGCCAGAGAATAGCCTCACACGATTCCCCATACAAGCCCTGCATGACCACTCCCTCAAGACAATGAGGTTCAGACTTATATCCAAAAATCTTAGAAACAAAACCTTGTGTCTATTGATCACAAAGACAATATTTTCATCAAACTACAGAAAACATCTAGGTTTCAGGTGTGTTTCAGCTCAATGCTCAGAAAAGCAGCAGAACCAGACAGCAACAGCCATGGCTGACAGCAGGACCAGGTACAATCACTAAGGACTTCCTACCCTAGAAGTGACCGGTCAGTAAAATCCACTACCCTAAAAGGACACACCTGGAAAGCTGAAGAATGTTCTATTGAAATCCTCCCCAGACACCTCCAGATAAAGACCCGTAACAGGAAGGCCCCAGGGCATGCTCTTTCTCTCTGTAGAGCACGCCCAGGGCATCCCTTCCCCCTTTCTTTCCTCAAAGCACACACCTTTGCTTTCTTTCTCCTAAGCTCCAGAAGCCCTTCTTTTGCCTCTGTAACTTGTTTCCTGAGTCCACACAGCCCAGCTGCTTCACTTCTTGCACAGCTCACTTATTTTACCTCTGTGACTTTCTAAATAAATCTTCACTTATATTTGAATTTCTTGGCTCAGAATTCTTTTCTTTAGTGGAACTCAAGGAGAGTTCTAACATCTGGTGCTCTTTGCCATTAACATAGTAACTAAAATCCAGGCAGGAAGCAATAGTCAACCTTAAGAGACTCTTTGCCCAAGAGACAATTTTAATAAATAAAGTCTGAAAATTAGAACACTGCCAACACCTACCTTTGTAACCTTGGACTCGCTTAACTTCTGTAAGTTTAGGAGCATGAAAGAGAAGGAACTAAAATAATACAGAACAGCAACGATAATTGTGCTGTGGGTACCAGCTCTAGACTTAGCACTGTCCTAAGAGCTCTGCATGCATTCTTCTACTTAAACTTCACAACAACTCAGAAATGTGTTGTTAGCACTTTGTAGTATTTTCTAAAGAACTACTCAATGAAGTGGGCATCAACACATGGTACCATTTTTCGCGTAAAGAGATTGAGGTTCAGAGGACAACAACTTGTTTAAAATCATTCCAGTTTTATTTAACATGAAAGAATGCTTTAGACACTCCACTGCATTGGACTTTATCTGTTGGCCGCAACTTGCTGGAAAACTTTAAACCTATTCAATAGGCCTTAGAGGTTTTCATCGCCAGCACCACACTCCACATATCTTGGTCTCACCTGGAAGAATAATCAACCCTTCACTCACCCCCAGAACGCCTGGGCTACTAGCAGGGAACTGTTGCCTAGAACTTTCCTGAATGTTTCCCCCAACACTCCCCCCAAACCCCGCCCTTTCTCTGGTCGCTCCAGGCTCTGACCTTCAAACTACGTCTCCCATAAGGCCGTGCGAGGACACCAACCCTCTACCGGAAGTTAGAAAGGCTCTATCCGGCGTCGGGAAGAGTAAGTGTGGGGTTCTCTTAGTCCCTTGACCACAACCCGATTTCCTCTGGTCAGGTCGTGCGTAGGTTAGCTGCTGCTGCAGCGAGGTAACGCGCCCTGCCCTTGGGGCGGCGACCAGTCCTCCAGGCTCCTCTGTCTCAGCGCGTCCCGCCTGGCCCTGCTGGGTCGTGTGGCGCAGACTCGCGCCGGGACGCGGACGCGGGCGCGGGCGCTGTGGCTCTGCGGCCGGGGTCCGGGGAGATGGCGCGGAGGCAGCGGGTTCTGTGGCTGGTGGCACTTCCAGCCCGGCCTTTGAAGTGGGGGAGAGGGAATGCTGCCTTAGGCGTGGTTTCACTTTGAAAGAAGGAATTCACAGTAATGGCAACAAAATAAACTCTCAAACCATTCGACTGTTTGAAGAGACCGTGCATGGGTGCTGCTCGATTGGTTAAATGATCACCCTGAGTGCCCCAGGAAGGGTAGTTCCTTAAATAATGGTTGGTGACTTAAGTGACAGAACCATATTTGAGATCAGCCGGTTCCGTATTGAGCAATGTACTGGTAACCTTGAGCAAGTCATGGGCCCCGCGTTAGACACATCAGTAAAAGTGCATGTTGGTTTGGATAAAATCTGAGACCCTTGAACCCTAAGGTTCTCTTAAATGACCTCTCAGAGTAGTACATGCTCCTCTTGGAAAGCGAGGCCAATAGGTTATATGAATCACCTGATCCTGCCTTCAAATCCTTACCCTCTGGAGGGCCTGTCAATGAGAGATGAAAAAGTAAATCAAGCAGCAGCGCTGGACTTCAGACTTTGTGTAATTCTCTAGAATGAGTAATGGTTCTATTTCTAGATGGTTTTTGTGCCGAGAAAGCTAAGGGGGGAAAAGTACATTTTCCACTTTCTCCTGAAAGCACTGCATCGCACTATGGCTACTGAATGGTACTGTATTTCTGGAGAGAAAGTTTTGCAGTCACCTGGAGTGGCCTGTGTTGAGGCTGAGGAAGTGACCATGACTTAGAGCATGAGGCAGTGAAATATTATTTAAAGTAAACCTAATAAAGGACCTGTATGATGATATTGTATAGAAAATTTAAAGGAAAGGCACCTTAGAAAGGAGACTACACCAGTCAGTATATAGTAGTGCTTCAAACAAAGTTCTGAAAAGATATATCTTTTTTTTAATTCACAATATTTTTAAGCATTTAAAAATCTCAACATGAAGAGAATGGTCAGGCACATTCTAGAGTAAATCAAAAATTAAAATGTTTTCTAATATAGAAGTCACTCTTACTAATTTAAGTTATAAACAAATTTTTATTATTAGGTTTTACCCAAATGTTTACACTCTTGTGAATATATTTCACCTATTTATAAGTTTCACCTATTCATTTATGAATAGTAGAAAGATAAGGGAAAGAACAGACACCAAGTAAAGTTAATCTCTCTTGTCCATTTTTTCCCCTTAAATTTTGTTCATACTACTACTATAAAACTGATCTGCCAAATTGTAGGGTCAGAACCCTAGAGACATCAGCTTTCAAACATTGTGGATTACAACCTTTCCTCCTTTTAAGCCTAAATATCTCATTACTTAGAATGGTAGAAGCCTAGGTAGGAACCCAAATGTTTTCCTAACAGCATTTTATAGAAAAAATGTGTACCTGAATAAAAAGTACTTTGAGGAGTTGATAGACAACTGAAACATGAACCACTTCCACCAAAAATAGCTCGATTTGTGCCCTACCATATTCAACCCATGTTTAGACAACATTTATTAGGAGGTATGAAATAAAGATTATCTATACTTTTTCTTAATGAAACAATGGAATATAATCAATGCAAAGTTAATGTTTAAAAAGTTTCTGTGTTTCAAGGGTAAACAAAGTAATCAACATAAGTGTCCAATAATAGATCAAAAATATATGATCAATTTATAACAAAGATAATACTGCAGTGCAATGAGACAAAGACGGTAATTTCAAGAATGTTGCCAAGTCATATGGATTACTCAGTGAGATAAAAATGTGTCTTGACCGTTCACACTATGAACAAAAATAAATTTCACATGGGTTACAGAAATGAGCAAGGAAAAGCAATGAATGGTTTCCATGAGAAACTTAGTTTTCGAGTAATTTACTGTGGGATTATAATTCCTCTGAGGGCAGGGACCTGTTTCTGGTACCCAAGCATTAAGAGAATAATACTTGTCATCTGCTAAAAACTTCTGCCATTACTTCTGTCTGCTTTAAATCCTCTTCCCATTGAAGTCCCTCTGTCTACTTCAAATTCCCACTTTCCATTGTAAAGCTGTTACCCGACTCCCTTTCCCAAGCATATGGCTCCCAATTTTACCAAAGGTTCTATACACATTATTTTATATATCCCTCATGTTGAATTATATTTAAAATTCTCAGCTGATGACAGTTTTGAAGTGTATGCTGTGATGACATTTTACTACTAATTAACTTTTGAAGAACATATTGCTTGGGAATCCATAACTATTATTCTAATTATATCAGCACTCAGGTAATGTTCAATCATTGATATAAAAAGCAATTGCAAATGTTTTTTTTCTATTTTCCTTTTTTTAAGGAAGAAATGTCTTCTATAAAGAGAAGTCCAAAACAAGAAATAATTTCCCAGTTTCACTGTTCAGCTGCAGAAGGAGATATTGCCAAGTTAACAGTGATTCTTAGTCATTCTCCATCTCTTCTCAATGAAACTTCTGAAAATGGCTGGACTGCTTTAATGTATGCTGCAAGGAATGGGCACCTGGATGTTGTCCAATTGCTACTTGAGAAAGGGTAAACATTTTGGGCTATACCACCTGAAGGAGGATGTGGTTTAATTTCTGAGTTACATCTTTTTTTTTTTTATTTTTTCTTGTAGCCACATTTATATCATTGGACTTATAAATGACTCATTGCCTAGTTCTGTTAACAAAATATAGCATAATTTCTAGTCAAAGCTTATAACTTTTATTGAGGAATTAACTTTTCATACTTAATAGCAAAACAAATTTATGAAACAAACTTATGAAGCAAAGCAAAATTAATCTAATGGTTCCCCAAATAGAAAATGTAAATCTGCCCACTGTGACTAGGACAAATTCCTTGTAAAATTTAAATATCTAACAGCACATACTGCTTTTTAATTGTATAATTCTCCAAAAATTAAAGTATCTTCTTTCTCTAACTTTACATCATTTATGATTATTTCTTTTAACTTTCCCACTTGTTACATATGTTTCTAAAAATATTGTATTATAATAAACACTGGAGAAAATGTTTATTTCCTATTATATTTTTCCTTTTATCTGTAGGTGTGACAGATCCATTGTCAACAGATCAAAGCAGACTGCACTGGATATCGCTGAGTTTTGGGGTTACAAGCATATAGCTAACTTACTAGCTAATGCTAAAGGTCAGAAGAAGCCTTGGTTCCTAACCAATGTTGTAGAAGAATGTGAAAATTATTTTAGCAAGACACTACTGGACCGGAAAAGTGAAAAAAGAAATAATACTGACTGGCTACTAGCTAAAGAAAGCCATCCAGCCACAGTTTATATCCTTTTCTCAGATTTAAATCCCTTGGTTACTTTAGGTGGCAACAAAGAAAGTTCCCAACAACCAGAAGTCAGGCTTTGTCAGCTGAACTACACAGATATAAAGGATTATTTGGCTCAACGTGAAAAAATCACCTTGATTTTCCTTGGAGTAGAGCTTGAAATGAAAAAAGAGTTACTTAAGTGTGCTGGGGAAGGCCCAAGAGAAGATGGGTTGGTTGCCTGGTTTGCTCTAGGTATAGATCCTGTTGCTGCTGAAGAATTTAAGCAAAGACATGAAAATTGTTATTTTCTTCATCCACCAATGCCAGCTCTTCTGCAATTGAAAGAAAATGAAGCTGGTAAGAAGTGAACAGTCTTTACTTCTATCAGTAATAATCTGGTTTTTGGAACTGTATTGCAGTTGTATTTATCTGCAGTTCCTATGGGACATGCTTTTTCCAGTAAGTAGTGAAATTAAGCTATGTGTTCCTTAGAAACTTGTGTAAAGTTCTCACCCTAGGGGACTGCTCTCCTGGGCAGTTACAGCAGTCTTAATCAGCCAAGATTAATTTCCCCACAATTAACCCTAATGTGTGATGGTTTCATTTGATTCTTCAGTGAATAATGATTGAGCACCATACATTGAGCCTGATGGCAAAGACTTTGGTTTTGTTTTCTATTGCTGGGTATGCCAGTTCTTGTGTGGCCTTTTTATGCCATGGTAAGAAACTAGGTGTTTTAGTCTAAATTCCATTTAAATGTTATAACCTGACCTATGTTTAAAGACAAAAAAAACCTTTACTTTGCCTGCTTTATAGATCATGAATTATAGGTTATTAAATATGGAACTCAGAAGTCTTACTGAGAGGTGATTAGAAATTACTGTATCCCAGGTAAGAGATTGCAGTGGCTTGAATTAATGGAGGGTAAAAGAGCCAGGACATTCTGGAGGTAGAACTGATAGGGCTTGATCAGTATGTAGGCTATTATAAGTGAGAAGGAGGTGACAGTAACCTGGACTATGACCTGAATTAAAGTGATTGTAGTACAGATGGAAAACAGAGATCCATTCAAGGTATATTTTGAGAAAAAAAGTGACAGTACTTGATGGGATGCATATAGAGTACATAATAATGAAGGAAAAGAACAGGAATGACTGCTAGGTTTGAACTTTAGTAATTTGGCAAATAATGATAGTATTTTTGATAAAATAATGTAAGGTGATGAGTAGAGCAAGGAAAGCAGGACAGACTTGAAGTAAGTAAATGAAGATACTAGTTTTGGGCAGGCTAAATTGCAGGGGATGTTAGAATGCGGAGAGAGGGAAGGAGAGGAGGTCTGAACTAGATACCCCCATAGGGATTCACCAACACAAAGATGGTATCTAAATCCCAGGAAACTACTGAGATTACTTAGAGAGTGGAGAGCAAGTAAGACAGAGACTCTCGGAATCATGCCTGAATCCCTCTCAGTTTAGAGGTCAGGTAGAGGTAGAGAAGTCATTTACAGTGGTGTGGCCGTAAGATAGGAGGAAAACAGGAGACATGGAAACCATGAAAGCAGAGTGTTTTGGGGAGGTACTGGTCAAATGTGTTGCATGCTGTTGAGACTTTGAGTACAGTGAAGGCAAAGTTGTTTTGTTTTATTTTGTTTTTTTAATAAGAATCGTTGGTTTTGGTAGTGTGAGAGTGTTAATGAACTTGACAAGAGGAGTGTCAGTGTAATGGAAGGAACAGAAGCTAGATTATGACAGATGGAGGAGTTAATGGGAGGTGAGGAAGGGGTCACCTGTCAGTGTTCACTTTCCCTCAGGTGATAAGGAAGGCCCTTACAGAGACATGAACAGTGTAAATACAGTATTTTTTAATGTTCTGCAGTTTCCAGTTGTAAATAGGATGTGTTCCACAGTGAGATGAACCAGTAGTGGCTTAGTCACAAAGGTAGAGATGACTTCCAGCAATTTCCTAGCAATATTGTTTCTTATAGTTCAAATCCAAGTTAGGAACTGCCTTTGTAGTGTATTTTTATAAAAGTTTCTATTATAAAGTCACCATTTGTAACTTCACTATACGCCAGAATCTTTACCCAAAATTTCAAAATCACCTATAATAAAAGTCTGAGTTAATATAGTGTGTAAGACAGATATTAGTACATCTATCTTATATGAAGAGTTATACTTTATTAGTTCAAATTATAGTTAAATCTAATTTGCATTTGTTATACATAGAATTTAATCTTCTACTTTATGTATACATCATAAAAATAGGAATACTAAACCTTTGATCACAGAACTATTCAGGAGTATATGTCTTTATTGTGACTTAAGAATATTTATATTGTTACAATATATGTCTTCATTATGATTTAAGAACATTTTACATATAGATTAGTTTGTTCACAATTTGTCACAGAATTAAAACTTTTTGTTTCTCTTGAAGGGGTCGTAGCTCAAGCAAGATCTGTTCTTGCCTGGCACAGTCGATATAAGTTCTGCCCAACCTGTGGAAGTGCAACTAAAATTGAAGAAGGTGGCTATAAAAGAGTATGCTTAAAAGAAGACTGTCCTAGCCTTCATGGTGTTCATAATACATCATATCCAAGAGTTGGTAAGCCCTTTATTTTTCAGTGCAATCTCAGCCATCTGGAATCGTAGGCATTAAGACATTCTGGGAAGACAAGATTTTCAGTTGCAGATGGATTAACATTTTTATTAAGAGCATGTTTAATTTAGCCCTGGCTGGCGTAGCTCAGTGGATTGAGCGCGGGCTGGGAACCAAAGTGTCCCAGGTTCAATTCCCAGCCAGGGTACATTCCTGGGTTGCAAGCCATAACCCCCAGCAACCGCACATTGATGTTTCTTTCTCTCTCTCTCTCTCTTTCTCTCTCTCTCCCCCTCCCTTCCCTCCCTAAAAATAAAAAAATAAAAATAAATAAATAAAATAAAAAAAATTGTCACTAAAAATAAAAAAGAAGAATTAAAAAATGATTTTAAAAAAAAGAGCATGTTTAATTTAACCATTAAGATTATAAATATTAAGTTATTACATACTTTCATGACTTTTAAGTAAAGGACATTGTATATAATTAGCCAGAGACAAAAAAAAAAAGAGCCCCCACATTCGGTACCTGTTTGAGGCATTACCAAAGCAGTACAGCCTGGAGCTACCTTCTCATAACTGCCGGTATCTGCCTGTACCTTCTCTCCTTCTTCGAATCCGTGTTTTGAGTCTGCTGGGGATTTGGAAATCTGATAACCCAGCCCTTTAAAACTGTGTGGGAAAAAAAAAATAGATGAAGAAACACCTGCGGAGGTCGCCTGAGAGTAACTAAAGTGCATGGCTTAGTGACATCTGTTTTTACTGCTGGAGAGCCTCTTGTATTTGATTCCCGGATCTCAGTCTTGATATAGGGAGGATAATTCACTAGATTAGTGACTTTTGGAGAGGTGAACTGTTACTTAATTTATATGTATATGTATTTTGTATTTTTTTAATGGCTTAAACTTGATCATAGAGCCATGTTAGCTTTTAAAAGCATTTTGTTAAGGATTGGGATGGAAGAGAGAGGCAAGTTTACCAGGGTAAAATCTGAATTTTCCCCATGCCATCCATATACTATCTACTCACACTTTTTTCTTATTAAAGAACATAAGAATATGTCTGGTACCATAAGTACACAATAACCATTGTTAAGATGAGAAGGAGGACAAAAGCGATCTTTCACTTCACTGATGGTATTCTATACAACTTTTCTAAAATACTGTCATTAAGGAGAAAGGAAAAATCTCTTGTAACTAGACAACAGTGTTGTTCTTACTGTAGATATACCTTATAATTATTCTACTAGATAGGGACCCTACACACACAATTAGTTTCAATTACTTTTTCCTGTCATTCATACATCTGATTTTTTTTAATAGATCCAGTAGTAATCATGCAAGTTATTCATCCAGATGGGACCAAGTGTCTTTTAGGCAGGCAAAAAAGATTCCCCCCAGGCATGTTTACTTGCCTTGCTGGATTTATTGAACCTGGTAAGCCTTTTTAAAATAGTTTCTGTAATAACTTTCATTAACTTATAATTTCCCAATAAAAATTTTAGATAACATTTGAGAAATAATCTTTGATAAATTATTATGTTATAAAACAGGTATTTCTAAATATTTTCTGTGTGTTTGAAATTATAATTATTGTTTTTACTGGTGGAATAATTTTGTATATTTTAAAATTTCGGTATTTGCTCTGTCATGTATTGCTGTTATCCCAGGTATCCACATGACTTATGCCTCACTTCCTTCTGTACTAGACTCAGCTGTCACCTTCTCAAAGACGCCTTTCTTGATAGCCCCCAATACATGAGGTAGCCCCATACCCTGTGCTCACAGTCCCTGTTATCCTGTCATTTTTTTGCTGCAGTGTTCATCACCACCTAACCTGGTATGTGTGCACATATCTGTCCATCCGTTTGTCAGTCTCTCTATTTATGTGCTCATACCGGAAAGTTGGATCCATAAGGGAAGGGGCTGTATTTTATCATCAATGTGTCCCAAACCCTTAGGGCAGTGCCTCTTAAATAGTAGAAGTTCAGTAAATATTTGTGGAATAAATGAATGAATATATCTAATTAATACATTTTTAATCTCAACTTCTAATATCAGTCTGCATTGCTAGATAATAATAGTAATAAACACATGTAGAGCCACACTGTGTTCTGAAGGCTTTCCATATATTAAATCATATGATCGTCAGCAATTTTATAGATGGGGCAGTAAGGCACTGGGGTAGAATAAAACTTGCCCAAAATCAAGCAGCTAGTAAGTAACAGGCAGGGATGCAAACCTGGATAGTTTGTCTCTAAGTCCATGCTCTAGTGGCTCAATGCTGCCTCTAGTACCTCTAGGTTTGTTTGTTTATTGTTCTTTTTACTGCTGTCTAGCATTCCACTTATGAATATTCTGAAATTCATTTATCCATTCTGCTGTTGGTCATTAAGCTTACTTCAGAGCTCTTGCTATTACAAATAACACTACCATCAATATTTTTATACTACTCCTTATACACATTTGCAGGAGTTATCTAGATACATACCTGAGAGTACAATGGCTAGATGATAGGATATGAGCATCTGAACCTTTTCTAGATATTACCAAGTTGCTCTCTCAAGTGTCCCTGCCAGTTTACATTCCTTCTAGCAGTACATGAAATTGTCTGTTGTTCCACATTTTCACCAAATTAGAATTTTCAGACTTTTTAATTTGCCATTCTGATGGATATGAAATAGTGTGTCACTCTCGTTTTCATTTTTCCTGCTGATGGAGTATCTTTTTCAAATGTGTATTAAACATCCAATTTTCTCTATCCCTTGGTTTTACATGTTTATGTTCTTTGCCTATTTTTGTTTTGGTTGTTTGCCTTTTTTCTCATTGATTTTAGGAGTTTTTAATTATGTGTTATATGTTATTCTTTATTTTGTTATGGTCTTGCAAACATGCCAGTCTATGAATTATCTTTTCACTATGTTTTTTATGAACATAAGTTGTTAATTTTAATATAGAAAATGTATTAATCTATTTGGAAAAGAAAGCTATATTTAAATAGCAAAATATTTCTAAACTCCCAGATAAACTTAACTTAGAATATATTTTCTTTATTCTAATTCTCAAGTCCAGCAAATCAAAATGTACCTTTATTGGCATCATTTTATTTTATCATAGCTGAGTCAACAGTCATCCAGAGCAGTGATTTTCAACCTATTTTATCTCATGGCACACACAATCTAATTATTAAAATTCTATGGCAGATTAAAAAATATATTTTTCACTGATCTGACAAAAGAGGTATAATTTTGATTGATTTACAAAAATAATAATTACTCTTTTTGCTCCAAAGTGAATTTTCAAAAAATCAGGTGCCTATACTTGTATATAAGAATTTTTGTTACCACGTATTAACCAATCAGACACACTCTTATTATGTGATATGACCAATAAGATGCAACTCTGTTACATGATATATATATTTATGGTTCGAGACAGGTCATTCACACTGGATGGCTATTGTTGTATTGGCTGTTGTCATTTTTCTATTTGACAGTCTAAGGGAAAAGAGATCAGTGCCCCTTACTAAATAGGCATTGCATACATTTTTAAAATTTTTGTGGCACACCGGTTGAAAATCACTAATCTAGAAGAAAGTAATCATTTAGAAAGTAAAATACTGAATTTTATTTAATGTTGCTTTTAAACTTTTAGTGTTATGTGCTTCTGACTATTTTGAAAAAAGTTATCTGCAATAACTGGCAACCTAAGAAAAAAGAGTTTGAAGATTTTAGTGAAGAAAAGACTAGCCACTTATAAAAATCATGTAACAACATAACTATTCAGTGATAATATATAAATGAAATACTATTTAAAGTGTTTACATAGTGTTTAGCCAATAGTAGGTGCTAGATAGTTGTAGATGTTATTTTTTAAATGTAAATAAAGATTTGGACCTTTAAGAAATAAAAAGAATATTGGTATTTTGATTCTGTATGCAGTCATATACTTTAACAAATAAAGTTTTCTTGAATTCCAATCCAATTTCAGCCTGTTTCTGATTCTTTGAATTGGGTTCTGTCCAAAATGATTTCCAAATGTTTGAACTGTTCAGAGCACAGTATGTCCAAGGCATGTTCATCAGCTACTTGTTCTTTTGCCCTATTTCATTAGGGGAGACAATAGAAGATGCTGTTCGGAGAGAAGTGGAAGAGGAAAGTGGAGTCAAAGTTGGCCATGTTCAGTATGTCGCTTGTCAGCCATGGCCAATGCCCTCCTCCTTAATGATTGGTTGCTTAGCTGTGGCATTGTCTACAGAAATTAAAGTTGACAAGAATGAAATAGAGGATGCCCGCTGGTTCACTAGAGAACAGGTAAAGTTCAATTTAATTTCCTTCTGCTATTGATTGTTCTCTGACTGTATCGGTGTAGGCATGCAGCAAGGATACTTGCTTTCAACAGGTTGAATGAATGGCTGTGGCTCTCTCATCATGCATGGATTACAGTGTAATTGATGTGTCCTGTGTTAATTCATTCTATGAGATTCTTTGAGTAATGATGATTCTGTGCCATTTCCCAATTTCAAACACCATTCCTTCAAATTAATGATGCCTTTCAGTATACTTAATATAGGTAACTGTTATTTCAGAGATGAGAAACACGAATGTTATGTTTAAACATTTTATATTTAATTTATAGCTTTAAAACAGTTATCTCTTTAAAAATACCAGTAAAAATACTTAAAATTTGTGAAAAGTTCTTGTTCGGTTTAAAATATACTTAGGACAAGAATGACAAAACTGTATAACAAAAATATACTTGCAAGAACTTTTTACAACATCAGTAAGTTTTATAAGGAAAGATAAATTAGAAATACGTATTTTGCATGACCCAAAGTATTTGTAGAAAATAAATGGATATTCTGCAGTACTGAAGATCTGAAGTCCTTTCTGACTTTGTCTAAATAAAATTTATTTTATGCTCAACCTTTAAAAGTAGAAATAAGATTTTTTCAAAATTTTATGAAGTGAAACCTGTCCCAAAAGTTGACATCACTTTGAAAATAAGTGTGGAGCATATGCTTTGCTTTTTCATGACCTCACTTTCATAAGAAGGTACACATTACTCAAATATTTTGAAAATGGAATCACTAACTCATTGAAGCAACTAAAGATGCTGCATTAAATATTTCATGTTGAATATGAAATTTATTACTTTCTGCTGTTGTCATTCACTAGAAAAGTCATCACATTTTAGTTTATCGTATAAGCATAGAAGCTGTATTTAGGTGTAACAGCGTTGAAATCCTAATACATTTTATTATGGTATATTTTAGGTTGTGGATGTTCTGACCAAAGGGAAGCAGCAGGCATTCTTCGTACCACCAAGCCGAGCTATTGCACATCAACTAATCAAACACTGGATTGGAATGAACCCCAATCTCTAAATCAAAAAACTAGACTTTGAGTACTGATTCATTTCTTATACAACTTATTCCTCAATTGAGGTTAGAAATGTTCAGTGCTCTTTAGAATGTCACAACACAAAATGTCATATTCGGATTTTAAAATATTTTCAAAGTGTACATTTCATCTTAACCACAGAATTCTTATTTTTATGAGTTACAACATTGCCTCAGATTTTGTTAAATCTGGATCATCCTGCTATCTAGAACATTTTTTTGGTTGTGCTCCACAATTCTATTTCACAAAACCATATTTCTAATAAGAGAAATCATGTTGTAAAGAAATATGTTCCAAAAATGTAAGTACACTGAAATCCTAACACCTCTTGTAAGCATTAGACTAGTCATTAAAGATTCATTGCTGAAATTAAACACACTTACAAATAATTCTCAAAGATCAGATATTAAATCTCATATACAAGGTCCGGCAGAAGTAACACCTGTTTGAGTGTGGTTGGTAGGGGATGTGAATGTCTCACATGAGATGGACAGCAATTTGAACATTTCACCTAAAATGTCATATGGTGTGCTTGAGTGTGATATTGCTATATTACAGAATTACATGCCTATGATTTTGTAATAAAAGAGTTTGTAATAAGTAGGCATTATTTGTGCCAGACCCTGCATATGTACATAGTTAATAAAAACACTGACTTGATGTCACATCTTTTTTGAGAAATTAGACAAAATCATTTTAATGAATTTTGAGCTTGAATTTTTCATCTTTCCATTACCATAAACTGTCTTTCAGTTGTCAGTAGCTGATTTTTGCTCATCTTCCCATTGTAATTCACTTTTTTCTCCTGGTTTCATTGTTCTAACAGTGCTGCAGTTAACAGTGTTGCTTCTAGTCTATTTTCATCAGTTAAGAATTTTCTATTTTGACAACTCCACAGAATAAGTAAGAGCATATATTGCGTCTGGGGCCTCTTCCTTAAACCTAAAATTAATTAATCTATTTTTCTATTAGATCTACTCAAAGCCTTAAGACAAATCAGGATTCTCTGTTTTTTCACTGAAATGAAACATATTTGAAAGGAATTCTCCTCAAAGGTCAGATGTAATGTAAATCACAGAAAGATTTACATATTTTTTAAAAAACACTGGCTTTATGGCATTTTGTGATAAGGAATATATTTGCATTAGCAAAAAGCTATATAATCATTACTAATAACATCTATTAAGCTCATATATAACATTTTGCTTTTGGCCTTAACACATTCTAAGAATGCTTTATAAAGTAAGTATATGTTAGAAATGAAACAGTAAGATTCTAGAGAAAGTAAATTGTACTTCACAGTTTTGCAACACAGAATTGTCATATTTTACAAGGCTGTTTTGAAATTGTTTTAAAAGGTAATACTTAAATACATAAATTTATATAATTTGGCTGTATACTATCACATGTTAGAACTGGAAGAGACCTAAAGGATAATATATAGATTTCATTGCCCTTCTCTTACAGATAAGGTAAAGGAAATATTGAAAGGTGAATTTAATTAATTCATTAAAAGTAAATTAATTAATGAAAGTCATACAATTACAGCGTATAATTTTAACACAATTTATTATATTTTCAGTTAAGTAAATTACAAGTTTATATTGTATAACCCAGAGAAGCAGTCTTCCTCTGATCGAAAGTAGAAACTATTACTAAAAGTGTATATAAGATAAATCAAAATAATAGATAATAAGAATAAATTCAGTTTACCAAATACTGTTAATTAAAATTTTAGATACTAAAATTTAACTTAAATAAGATAATTTTATTAGGTAAAACTTTGTTTTATTAACAAACAATGGTTTTCTTAGTAATTGATGAAGGCTTATTGATATTAGGTCTTTAAACAAAATTAAGACTTACACAGGACATTTGATACATAATAAAATTTGAACTACATAGGCATATAGAAAATGCTGTGCCTGGATTATTCTTAAGTATAATGACTTAAAATTCAGTTTTACTTCAAATGTATTTTAGTACTTACAGATCCTAAGATTACATCAAAAGTTTTAGGATAGCAAAGTAAAATACAAAGTATCAACAAGTAGTTGTAAATTTAGTTTTTGATATTTAACCCTGTACTCAGGGAAAATCAGTATCTAAGTAAATTATTGTTTTAATAATCTTTCTTAAATTGTTAACCTCTGAGAGGTGAATAGCTACGTGTAAGTAGAAGAAATAGCCAAGAAATGGTAAAGGTTCAAGTGCCATCAATGTATTCTAATGGAAATAAAGGTAACAATACATTAAAAAAATTATCTATTCTCTGTTTTGTGTGTTGTGTGTGCTTTTTAATGTTTTGATAAATATCTTCTGAAAAAATGGAAAAGGCTAAATTTCAGTCATCATCTCCTATTTAGAATTAATGATGTGTAAACAAAATATACAAATGCCCTTTTAAAAGTTGTCATATTGGATTTAAATTTTTGTTTAAATCTTTTTAATTTTATAGTTTTGAGTCATATATATATGTATGCATGTCCATACATGCGCACACACACCAAACTACATGTACATATGTCAGTAATTTCATATTTGTGTATCTTGTCTATTTTTATTACTTGTCTAATGTTACCAGTTTTTGCATTTTGAATTTATTTTTTTACTCTTCATGGAAGGGCTAGAAGAATTAGAAGCCTACATATTTTAATTAGTTGGAAAAATAACTGAGTAAATCTTTTAAAGTTTAAAAGAGTAAAGTTTAAAATAAAAGAGTAAATCTTTTAAAGTTTAGCTAAGGGGTGTGGATAAAGACAGAAAAAAAAAAGGAACAAGCAAAGTGAGACCATGAGATGAAAGGAGACAGTAAGTTTGTTAATAAAGTAAATAAACAACTAAATCTCATATGAGAATAGTAGATAGAACTGTGTTGCTAATGTGCTTATAGCACAACATTAGGTGAAAATGTTCTATAAAACAAATTTGTTAATAATTGAGAATAAAGTTTACATAACACATTGTATTAGGGATGAGAACCAGTTACTAGGTTCTAAAAATTATATATAATATTACAATAATATATATCATGTGTGTGTGAAGTGAGAATGGTGGATGCCAAGTGAAATTTATGTGTGTGCTACTCTTAAAAGGGCCAGTTTTCTGTAGTAGAAAAAGATCTAGGACAATGTAATTCAAAGTGCAAAATTAAGAGTATTTGTCTACAAGTGTGAAAGATCTAGGTCTTGAGGCACTTGGAGAGGGAGGCACTTAGAAAAGGAGCTGGGAGAGTTTGACTTCAGAGTAGATGTGGGGGGAGTGCTCCCTAAGGGGCCAAATGCTTAGGAGCTTTGACAGCACAGAGGTAGATGAGACAGACACACTGCACGTTTTGAGAACTCCTATTTTGAAGAAACGGATAATGATGTTGCCAGGAGCCTGCATCTTCAGAAGCATTTCATTGGTCAGGAGAGAATTGAAAAGGAGCTGTTGGTGAAAATAAGTTCAGTGATATTTCTATACTACATCTTGTCCTTTTTCTTCCTGAGACATTCAGAATTCAGAATAGATTTTGAAAGAGGAAGTGTGGTTTATTATCATATACAGTAGATTTCCAAATAATTATTTTCCAAAAGTACAAATGATCAAAAGAAAGTTATTCAAGTAATAAAAACTGCATGGGGAAGAAATGGGTAATCAGAAGCCTGAACTTTTTTATTGTTCAAGAAATAATTTTTCAACTATAAAATGAACATTTGGATGTGTTACTTGGGCTCATAGGCAAGTTCCTCATTCAATTTTCACTAAATGATATGCACACATAATTGTACTCCTTGGTGGAATTAGCACTTTCAAATTTTCTTTATTCCTTGAAGAACATTATGTTTCTTACACTGCTAAGCAGACAATGCCATAGCATTGGACAATGGATATTTCTCCTTTTCACAATTCCCATTATGATGATGCTGTACAGAATAGTGGGGGTGGCTGTGAAATTTTAAAAAGGATTTATTGAGTTGAAAAAGAAACTTTGCTAATGGAAACATTTTTCTTTCTAACCCAAAGTCTGATAACAGACAAACTACAGCATAGAGAATGAAAAACTGCCCTGGCTTTCCAGTCCTGGGTTCACAGGAGCTGTACCAGACCATCTTGTCTCACCCTTGATGGATTAAGAACATAATTCTAATCACTTAACTTGTGAGGTGGTTTCATTTTCAGTAACATGGGAGTTCCACCCAGGAGTAGAAATTGACACTGGTACTTACATCTATTTTAGAACAGAATGGATAAAAAACTGATCTAGTCTGAAGTTTATTTTTGTTTAGTTTATATTCAGCCCATTTTGCTCTAGCCTGAAATTGCAGTCTTTTGGAGCTGTGTGATGTTTTGAACATATCAGTAAAACACCTTACAAATATTTATTACTGCGTTCAAATAGCAGTAAGCTGATGTCATCTCTATCACTAGGGGTAAAAATGATTTAAAATGCCATTGATCCAACAGCTTTGCTGCTAAGAGTTATTTTGCTTTTGTTGCTGGATTCACTTGTATTATGAAACAAGTTTGAATACTCAAAGGGTTTATAGGGTTTGGAAGTCCAAATAAGATGCCAGAACAACGGCTGCAAAATCAAACCTCAGGGGCTATGACAGCCCTGACCGTCTGTTCTGTGTGTTACTCAGGGCTTCGGTGGGATTGCAGCCGTGAGTGGGAAGCCAGTAGGAACTTTGTTCTGGGAGACACTGTTAAGGATGAAAGGAGAAAATATGCCATTGGTTCTAATAAATTGTAAATTTACTTCAAACTCAGATTTGTGAGCTTTGTAAAAGTTGTTTTTTGCTTTTTCTTTCCAATATATCTAAGAACTAATAGGTCTCTATTTCCAACAAGCTCCTAAGAAAATAGAACTCTTTAGTTAGCTTATTCTCAATACTAACACTATCTATACAGAACCCTATATAGACTCTTGACAATTATTTTTTTATCTTTAACCCTGTGAAATGCATGTTAATATCATTATCCCCATTTTATAATTGACTAAGAGGATTTTACTTTTTAAGGCACATTGTTAAATAAATGGAAGAGCCAAAGCTTGAACTCCAGTATTTCATTCCAAATTCTTTCATATGTCCACTTGCCAGAGCTATCGTACAGAAGTCCTTTAATAATGCTGCACTAATGAAAGCACTTTCAGTCTTTGTTTCCTCTTCCAATTCCTTAAATTTTGGTCATTTTTAGGTTAGATCTTTTCTTACCATTACACGTTTTTTTTTTTCCCCCATAACCTTCAACTACTTATTTGATTACCAAATTTCTATCTCCAACTCCCCATTAGACATATTTGCTTGGACATCTCAAAGTGTCCTGTATACTACACATGGACAGGTAAATGATCTTGTCTCCCATGGGTGTTCCTGTTTCTCTATCCCTATTTCAGTAGTCTTGCAAGTGCCCAAGACTTACCTTGCAAGTCTTGGAACTTGGAGTATTGTTATCTTTAATATATCTACCTTGTTTCTCACCCTATGGTACCCCACAGCCAATCTCCAAATCCTCCCCCTTTTATTTCTTTACTCCCTCATACTTCTCAAATGTCAGTCTCTGTCTCTCTGTCACTGCCTGCCCCCGACTCCATCTCTCCATGGCCACCATCCTACTTTGGGCTACTCACCTGGTCTCAAGCTCAGCTCAACTTCCTTAATTGGTCTCCCTACTTGAAAGTTCTATTCCCAATCCATTCTTCACACTGTAGCCAAGGAGATCTCGCTTAGAAGCAATCTTATCTAGTCTTTCTCTTAATATTTTTTAATCCTCACCTGAGGATATGTTTATTGATTTTAGAGAGAGAGGAAAGGAGAAAAAGAAACATCATCGATCAGTTGCCTCCAGTACACACCCCAACAGGAATCAGACCCACAACCTTTTGGTGCACAGGATGACACTCCAACCAAATGAGCCAACCAGCCAGGGCTCTCTGACTTAATATTCTTCAGAAGGACCTCTCTGTGGATAAAGGAGAAAGCCCAGTTTCCTTAGCATAGCAATTTACCTCTGTAGTTAAACTCCCATCACTTCTCTTTCTTCCAACCCCTTATATTTGTGTGGCAAAAAGCCATAGACAAACCTAATTCTTTATTATGCATTAATAAACTTTTATTAAGTGTTATCTGAATAACTATGACCAATATCATATACTACTAGTTTAAATAGAAATGTTTCATTCATTTATTTAAAGATTCTAAACTATATTTTTATTTACATTTCTCACAGTATTTCAAAAATTGTAGTTAAGAGCTTTTTTATCCCCATTTTATAAATAAACACACTGAGTCTAAGAAGTCAAATGACTTCTCCAAGATCAACATAGGGTATGGAAATAGAACTCAAATTTAAATCTCTCTAGTGAGAGTCTAGAACCTCCACTATACAGTACACCATATTGCCTCTGCTCCTGGATCTACCGCTCAATGATAAATAGCTGATAAAGAGTCAAACTAGATCATTTAAGTTTTCATTCTTGTTTGGGTTTCTTTCCCTTAATCTGTACCATGTGAACATCATAGTTGTGTATCATGAATGCCCCTATCCAAGCTCCTAATCCACAAGAGTATCACTGTGCAGTAAAAGCATTTTTTGAAAATAAACAGACTTTGGGAATGGTTAAGACAGATAATAATAGACTGATTAAAGGGTGGTGGATCACTCCTGACAATGCATAAGATTAAATATGGTAATCAGATTTTGGATTTAGACAACCCAGATAAATCCAAAGTAGAACAAGACGAGGTCATCAAATCTTGATTTCATTTTCTTGCCTTTCAAAATACATATTTGCATTTAATTCGTGTCTCTTTCAGAGCTGAGAAATCTATAAAGGCTTTACCAAGGTGAGCTGATTGTATTTTCTTTTAAATTTTTTATTTTTGTGTGTTGTTTTGAATGAAATACTTTAATTTTTGTTGTCCTAAATTAGTGGCTTAGCGAAAGATAATAACAAAGGGAAAATTATTTTAATGTTATATATGAGGACAATTTAACAATGTATTTCTTTACAGTCACAGAAAATCCAACAGCTGTTTGTAACTTGCTCTGTTATCAGAGAGCATGGTTACATCCAAAAAAATTCTCAATAGTTAATGTGTTTAGACCTCTTTTATTTGGGTTAAGAAAGACATCATATGCACACTTGAATAGCCACCAGTCATATCCTAATTTGGTTATGTGAAATAGTGCATTTGGAAAGCAAGGAAAATGCAATTGACAAGCTAGACTTCCAAGCATAATTGAAATTCATTCTGAATTCAGGCAGGATCAGTTTCATTTCAAAGC